CTCCCCCTTTACACAACCCGATGCCATCTCTTGATTCCAGTACCCAAGAGCTACGCTATAGGCTTTCTACTGGGTTCTCCACTGCCTTTATAATATTCCACACTTTTTTTGTGCTCGTCAGTTAACCATTTCTCGATCGATCGAGTCACTCAAGACGCGTACGGCAAAGCCGTTGTGTTTGCTGAGTGACCGTTGGTGGTCTAAGCCAACGAACTCGTGGATTAGGTCGCCTTCACAATGCTGTCCTGAACCTGAACGGCGCCCGGGTGTGCCGTCAGGTAGCCGTAACAAAAAAACGTTTCTTATAGAAAATAGGATCTACACTTTTTGTATAAAACCGCTGTAACAGAAATCTCCGATCTAAAATTGCGAAGAAAACATGCGTGAGAAACAATTATTTAATTGGAAAAATAAACATAAGACAATGTATTATAATAGTATTCGTATTAATATTAAATCAATAAGGAGCAGCCAGAAGGAAGTCTGTACGGATTGTCGTCTTCATCAGCTTCTTTGGCAGTTTCTACTGCGCGTTTGCCGCAGAATCCAGGAAGTTCATGCATCGCAATTCGTGCCTGAATAACGAAAGAATAAAGTGATCAAGGGAATTTGTTGGCGCTGTTTGTCGACGGGAAGGGGGGGGGGCATTCTGCTTTCCATAGATGTGCCGACCCATCTAGGTAGCCTTTTCTCGAGTTGACACGTTTTCAGGATGGTGGCTAGACGATCTTACTCCAGCTTCACAAGCGTTCACAAGTTTTACCAGAGTGAGATTTGTAAACCGGAACTAGGGAAGCAATGGTAGTACAAAATGCCCCCCCCCCTCGACAAACAGCGCCGAACCTATTCTTGAAATTTGTATACTAACTGTTAATCCGACTGTTAACGAAGCCCGATGAAATGATGTCACTGCTGTTTTTTTTTGTTGCGATTCGCGCTCCAAAGCCATCAGAATAATGCTGAGCTTTAGGCAGAATATCTGACCTCAGACTCGCACCATCATCTTACACTTTACAAACTAGTGAACTAACGATTACACTACCAGTTCAGACATTGCGACGAGCAAACCTCCCACTGATTTACTCACTGGAGTCAGGGCACATCATTAGCTGGTTTTTTTCAGTCGGTCCCGTGCGACCCTCCCCCACCTCTAGAGGGTGCTTGTTACGACCCCCTCCACAGGTCCCTCATCCCCCCATCTTACCTACCCGTTTTTGGATTACCCGTATTTTCCTAAGATTCATCCCAGTGTTTCCGAGAATTTCCGAGAATTTCCTAGTTTCTCCCAAAAATTTTGCTCTCGTGGGGGGGGGGAGTGTATATGGTACATATGAAACAAAAAACCCTCGGAAAGTCAACAACCTCCCCGTGTAGCCCAATACGACCCCCTCCCAATGATGACAAATACGACCCCTTGCTGGGGAATCTCCAGCAACTATGTGCCCTGACTGGAATTCTCCCAACGTTATGAATAGCGCCCGTGAAATAAGAAAAACCGACTGTCAGAAAAATTTTCATCAGACCATAACCGACCCTCTCCCTCTAGCCACCAAATACGGCCGCTCTGGGGATTCCCCAGCGTGCGACGTGCCCTGTTTGTAATGCACGTGTGGGCACATGCAAAGCGTATTTATCTATCACAGAACTTACCTGTTCCGGACTCAATCCTGTGGTCTCAGGTAGATATAAGTAGCAGATCAGTGTGATCGCTGCGGTAGGAGGAAAGAACATCAGGAAGTAGGATAAAACCAAACCAAGTCGGTGTTGAACAGGTAAGTATATGACAAGAGAGATAGAGCGACTGAAAAAGGAAAATAGAAAAACGTCTGTGTGAAACGTCGATGGTCCAGTTTGCACGTACAGTCCATTCAAAACGATATTCAGCCAAGTGTACATGGCTGAACGAGATCTATGGCTGACAATTTCGCCAGGCACAAAAAAGCACAGAGCTCCAGGACCGCCGGCAAACATCAAGTTGAAGGAACAGATGCACACCACTACGCACCATCCAACCCACTCCGCCTAAAAATCAGCCTTTATACAAGAGGAAGACTAATATAGTACTGAAGTAATTTACATGATTATGGTAGAACAAGGCCATGAACCCAGGTATCAGAATATTCACAACAGAAAGACCACCAAAGGTGATGAGTAGAAGCGGTCGGCGTCCCATATATTCGACCAGTTGTCCTGATATCAATACGCCAACCTAAAGGTTTAGAGTGATGTAGAAAACAGTGTAATTCAAAACTATAACAAGAGAAAAAGACTAAGACTGTGTTCATATGTACTTTGCGGCAGCGAACACTAGCGTCTACTAGCGACCATTATCGTTTCGAGCGTCTGTCGGCGTCAGCGATTACGAAAGCTTGGATGTCGATCCAGTGAAAGGCAGCGTCCTTTAGCGCCCACAGGCATACACCAGCAACCATCAGCGTCTCGAGGGACTAAGAGAATGTAAATATCGAGCTAACGTTCACCAGCGTCCACATGCGACTAGGAGTACGCTGTTCTGCGGTTGCATACGTCACAATTTCATGACGCCAAATCCAGCTGTCTGCTCCCTCCTATTTTCCCATACTCTCCACTCCTAGAATTAGTCGCTGGTGAACGCTGGTAGACGCTGATAGACGCTGGATCGTTACCCTACTTTCCTAGGCCTTCGAGACGCTGGTGGCCGCCGGCGGACGCTGCCGTTCGCTAGATCGATTCTATACTTCCCTAGTCGCTGACGCACACGTACGCTCGAAACACTATTCGTTGCTGGATGCTGCCGCAAAGTATGAACGCAGCTTGGAGACGTGTACAAAACGATCACGTCCGAAACTATCCCAACAAGAAACACAAGGAGACCAACAGATTCTGATTGCTCCTTTCAAGTATGCAATTCGTTCAGAATCGCTGCCCACTTGAGTATTCGTTTATTTGTGAGTAACGTGCGATGATTTCATCTTGCAAGGAAATATGGTAACAATTAACCGACAAAGATGTTTCTTGCTTACTCACCGTTTCTAAGCTAAGTGTGTCTACACACTATGAATAACTGGTAATTTCTCCCCGGGGAAATGGTGAAAAAGTGATGTCAAACGTCAGAAGGTTTGCGATAAAAGCTTTTGTTCTGCACGGCATCGGACGAGCATGCTTGGACGCGTCTCTCAGTGGTACGTGCCAGCAACCGCTTTGGTAGATAGGGGTGCCCTTGGTTGGAAAATGCGCGAGCAGAGAAGCTCAATACTCTTTCCTGCTTGGCGTATCAAACCTTTGGGCCTTGTCGGATCGTGCCACTCGCTCATAAGGTCTGGTGGGAACGCCTCGTATAAGGTCTGGTGGGAACGCCTCGTACTACAACAAAGGACATCCTTGAGCACAGCACAGGCGTTAGCTTCCCAACTTCTGCAGTGTGGTTACGCAGGAAACTCACGGCAAAAATGGATAAGAGGATGATAGCTGATGCTATGAGAGCTAATAGGAAGCTATGAGCTCCAGAAGCGTGTTCGAAGGCTTCATTGCCCGTCAGCTTAGAGCTTCAGGAACACTCCACAGCCCCATCCGCTTAAAGCTTCAGAAACATCCCAGAGCTGATCGCGGTCACAACATTCGAGAAAAGTTTCAATTTTTTTTAATAATTGGTTAGAGTACCGAAGGTTTTCCGGTTGAACTAGGACATCGTACATTTTGAAAGCTCTGAATTGTGTAAATTCTCTTTTGAATTCTTGATCAAACTTCAAAACTCACCAAAGTCATTGCACTGATGGCCAGATTACCAAGCGATGCACGAATCTCATCGAGACCAACTTTGAGAAGAATCTCGTACGCGAAAGCATTGAGGGCTAAATTGCTATGAGTATACCTTTATCTCACAATTTTCCTACTGCCATATATTGTGCTACACTTTGAAGACAAGCATCGCGAGTGCAGGTCCTCCATACTGGAGTTCGGATATGGAAGAACAGATTGTCATTGGCTTGACAGTGAAGAAACAATTGAAGGAAAAAGAGCAAAAAATTCGGCCTTTCGGCTGGATGACTATTTTGAACCTGCTGATCCATGCCAAAACATCGACAGGGGCCCCCTTTCTTAGTCAACCCCTCTCTAACAAAGGTTTGTCCCCATTTTCTAGCATCAGATGGTGTAGAAAACTTGAGAAACAGATAGGAAAAAATTAATCACCGTAGGATTAGAGATTATTGAGCCAGGGATAGGCGAGTGGTTAAGAGTTCGGGCTCATGTTCACAACCACCCTGAAGAAGGCCACGAGTTCGATCCCTGCCTAGGCACAAGCCGTGCCTTACAAAAATGGTGGGGTTACCAGCGTCAGGCCCAGGTTGACAGGCCGGCTGATGGAGAACCCGTCACAACAATCATGACAAGTCGCAAAAGAATCAGTGTTAATGCTAGGACGTCACCCGGAAGTGGCGCGCAGAACCCTCGCCCGAGTTCTGTGGTCAGTATGCGAGGGCTACCGAAGGGCGAACGACCTCGGCTAAAGGGTCTAAACTCTTCTACAATGGTGAAGATGCCAAGCGGAACGGAGTGGCCATAGCGGTGCGGAGCCCCTCAAGGACTGCGTCTCCTCTGTGAACAGGGTCAGTGATCGAATCATGGGAGTGAGAATGGACACGAAGGAGGGTACTGGACGTACTGACCGTGTACGCACCACAATCCGGTTGCTCCGAGGCCGAAAAGGATGAGTTCTACCTGATCCTTGATATCGGTTCCAAAAGATGTTTATCTCACCATAGCTGGTGATCTTAATGGCCATGTGGGAAGAGACAGAAGGGATCCAGAAAGGGTGCACGGAGGTCGCGGAATATGAGCCGGAACGTCGAGGGAGATGGATCTTGGACCAGTCCACAACCTAGCGGTCTGCCGCATGTTCTTGCAAAGAAAGACCCAGAAGACCACCTACAGTAGTGGAGGGAGATAAATGGAAATCGACCATGTGCTCGCAAGAAGATCATTCCTCAAAAAGGGTCATAAAGGCGTTGCCTGGTGAAGACTGGGCCCTCAACACAGACCCCTCCTAGCAGACATTGCCCTGGATCTCCCCATATGAAGAGGGTAAGAATTCAGTAGAGGATACGGTTGTCATCCTCCGCTGTGCTAAAGAAGAACTAGGAGAGACACGAGGCGGGACCAGAAGAGACAGGGCAGCGTGGTTCTGAAACGAGGAAGTCCAACAGCGAAAGAAGGAGGTGATCTCGCTCTCTACAGGAGGTGCAAGCGACTCGCTCATCCGTAGCAAGGCGAAAAACAGGGAAATGGACGCACAATGCGACAAATCAGACAGCTCAGAAGCAGATGAGTTCGTCTTCCGGCTGGCTAAGGCCTGCCATCGGGCAACCCAAGACATCACGGTAGTGAACACTGTAAAAGGCTGTGACAGTTACATCCTGAAGAAGCCAGGAAGTCAAGATAAGGTGGGAAGAGTAATCCAGAGAACTTTTGCACGAGGAGTTTCCTCGCAAAGACAGCCCACAAATGAAGCCAACGGCTGGTCCCATCACAGTCTTGGTAGAGGATGAGATTCGCAGGAAGTTAGGAAAATGAAGGCTGGCAAGGCGACTGGGCAAGACGGGATCCCGAGTGAGGCTTGGAAGGCCCTCGGAGAGCATGGAGTAAGTTGGTTCACCCGCTTCTCAAACAACATAATAGCCGAAGGAAGAATGCAGCATGCTTGGAGGGGCAGTAACAATTGTCCTTATCTTCGAACGGAAATGAGACGCGACGGACTGCTCCAAATACCGGGCGTCGGGCTGACCGCACGTACCATGAAGCTATACGAGAGGTTGGTCAACACCAGGCTGAGGGACATCGGTCCAATTTCGCAGGAGCAGTTCGGCCTCATGCCCGACAAGCCTACTACGGATGCCATCTTCATCGCCAGACAGGTGATGGAGAAGTATCGAGAGAAGCGTCGACCTTGCTACCTAGCCTTCCTGGATCTCGAAAAGGCCTTCGATCCCTTATCGCGACCTGTACTCGGGAGTAGACTTGTCGGGCATGAGGCCGAACTGCTCCTGCGAAATTGGACCAATGTCCCTCAGCCTGGATGTTGACCAACCTCTCGCATAGCTTCATGGTACGTGCGATCAGCCCGACGCCCGGTATTTGGAGCAGTCCGTCGCGTCTCATTTCCGTTCGAAGATAAGGACAATTTTACTGCCCCTCCAAGCATGCTGCATTCTTCCTTCGGCTATTATGTTGTTTGAGAAGCGGGTGAACCAACTTACTCCATGCTCTCCGAGGGCCTTCCAAGCCTCACTCGGAATCCCGTCTTGCCCAATCACCTTGCTAGCCTTCATTTTTCCTAGCTTCCTGCGAATCTCATCCTCGACCAAGACTGTGATGGGACCAGCCGTTGGCTTTATTTGTGGGCTGCCTTTGCGAGGAAACTCCTCGTGCAAAAGTTCTCTGAATTACTCTTCCCACCTAATCTTGACTTCATGGCTTTCTCAGGATGTAACTGTCACAGCCTTTTACAGTCTTCACTACCTTGATGTCTTGGGTAGCCCGATGGCGGGCCTTAGCCAGCCGGAAGACGAACTTATCTGCATCTAGCTGTCTGATTTGTCGCACAGTGCGCCCATTTCCCTGTTTTTCGCCTTGGCTACGGCTGTAATGTTCCTGTGCCATACAATATATCATACAGTGTAGTTCGCTGCGGACGGTTGGGCGTGTCAGGCGGGATGAGTTTGGCGCGGTGCCAAACCCGTTCTCCACTAGTTAGTTGTTGAGCAAATGATATGACTGTATCATATCGTTCGTATTACTCGTTTTCTACCACTTTTTGTCGCATGCGCGCTTCAGCAAGAAGGCAGAGAACGGCTTGTGACACACTCATACTGCCTGACACGCCCAACCGTCCGCAGCGAAGTAGAGTCTACCATGCAGTGTCCCACTATTGCTGTGTCCCGTGCTATGAACTCAGTGACCCTCCCCCTTCTGGCGCTTCTTATTGGACATCGCTTACTGTCATCCACCAATATTGTTCCTGTCTCGTACCCTGTATCTTATGCTCGAATCAAAGCCTTACACCTACATTGACATGCGCTCTGAATTTCGTGACGCACACGCACACACAGACATACTGAGCGGATTATATAGGAGGATCCTGGTTGGAAAATATGGAATTCAATCTTGGCCTCATGGAAAACACCAGGATTACCTTCTGTGCTCAGAATTAGCAGTGTGCAGATAACCGTGGTGTCCTCCATGAGCGCCAGCGCCAAGAATGAATGTTCTGTTCTTAATCAGGATGCTAAATATTCCCCGTATCAAGTTTTCAGCGGGATTAGTGATCTAGGCACTTTATAAGCCAGCAGCCAAAACTTAGCGTACGAACGGCATCATTCGTCGCGGAAGTGGGCCGATCTCTGCGATTGCGGACCTCATCATTTCTCACCACTGAGGAAGGAAATGAAGGAACGAGGGAGAAAGGAAAGGAAAGGAGTCTCTCCGGTTAACAGATATCCTAAAACCGAGGAAGGAATCTTAAGGAATGATTGAACGCTGATCCTTTCAAAAAACATGACTACAGAACTACAGAAATATATCAATCCCACACTAACGGAAAGTGTACTCGTAGTTAGTCTAAATGCTGCGTACACTGACTGGAGTCTTCGAGGTCAAATAAATTACCTGGCACTCCGCACAATATCGTCCCTGCCATTATAGCGAGACCAAGCAGGAATCCGCAGAGCCATTTGGTATCCTGAAGAAAGCAAAGGTAGTACAACTAAGCGAAGTAAGAGGACCATGTACGTGTTGCCACAGCACTTTCCAAATTTATGAGACCAATCGTCTTCCGGACAAACGATGGGGCGGTTGAAGGAGCGCAGGCGTGAGAGCAGCGGCGACCGCGTCATCTGGAACTGTGGGCAGCGCTGCAAAGCTATTTCTATGCACCCCTTCTATGCGCGCTCAACTGATGCCGCATACTACTCTACAGGGGGGGGGGGCAAAAAAAGTCACTTTCCTTCATTGACTTTCGAGGCGCTATAAGTTACACTTTATTAAATTCTGATCGGACATTTTTACCACCATATTAAAGAGCATATTAAATACTATCATGACACTCCGCCACAGCCTTCTGGACGAGCGCCATCGAGAGATTCTGGCACGCGACCGCGATGTGGTGCCTGAGATCAGCGAGATAGTCGATTTCTCCGCCACCGTAGACCACCCTATTGAACTCCGCCCGAACCGGGTAATTGAGGGGATTCAGGTCAGGTGACCTACTTGGATATTCCATCTTCTTTAGGTACTCAGCCCCCTTCCATTCCAAGTAGGCGAGAGTTTCTCCAATGCCCTTCGATTCCATGTGGTGGCACCCAATGCTGTAGCAGTACAAAGTTTCCAAGAAGGTACGGGCGACGACATGTGAGGAGGATATTCTTCACGAGTTGCTCGATGTAACCGCCAGCGCTCACCTTCAGTCCGGGGTCCACGAAGAAAATATTGGTCTTTCCATTCCAGGTACGTCCGGTCCATACCATCAACCCGCGCCTTGGCGACTGTGGTGAAGATGATGTCCTAGACCGTAGCGACGTTGTCGGAGCTGCTCGATGTTGGAGGTCATCCAGATCGAGAGTACTGGTCTCCAGGTAGCTATCCATGGGTGACTCCATACTAGAAGTTTCGCAGCTGTTTGGAGGTGACATGAATTCCAAAGGTCTTCTCCAGTCAGGCTGCGACTGGAGATGACTTCATATTTTGGTGTACGTGATGGGCGAGAGCCAGCTCCTGCTTAGAACATCTTGGGTATCTTCCGCCCTGGTACTCGTATCCACGTCCTCTGTCTGGGCAGCGAAAACTTTGCTGATATGTGACTCGGTCGAAGTGACTTTTTGGCCTCCCCCTGTATATTCTTTCGTTTCAACCGTATATTCTTAAAGAAAAAACTGTTCCATGGTATTCAGCGTTATGGTTTCGCGTCTTGTCATCCTGTTTATGGAACTCAGTGTATTTTGAAGCCATAGTACGCGCTCTTTATATGAGTGATGCGCTTCTTAACCGAAGGATTCAAGATCTTACCGCAGTTAGAGCTGGGAAATCTGCTTTAGCTAAATTTCGCTATTGTATGTGTCACAGTTGTGCTTACAAGAAATAGAAAGTCTTTCACTATTAAAAACATCTATACAACCGTACAACCTTCTCTACATTATATGTATCTCGATAACTTTGTTCATTGATAGGTAAGAAACTGTTGCTGTCCACAACTTAGCTCTGGAAGTCCTCCAGGCCGTGCAGCGCTCCCTTCAACAGTACGTGACGCAACCGCAGATTTTGGGCAGATTTATGGCAGCATTCTAGGCGAGGGGAGGGAGTATGGATCCTCCCTCTAGGAGGTGAACCGTGCAAAGCGGGCGATTCTTCGCGACGCGATGCTTTTCTTTGGTAGAGTCCTAGGTACATAGATAGAGTCTTGAATGGTGACTGCGAGGATGAAGTTCTACGAAAACCTCACAATAAGCTCTTGCCGATCGAAGCATGTTGTAAATGAAATGTTGGCGTTGAATTGGCTGCTTACCGGTACACTTTCAGCTCCCCGTGGCCTAGTGGTAACCGTCACGCTGCACCAAAGGGAGCATACTGCTTTGCTCCCCGTTGGGACAGATACGTTCGCTTTGGTTCCGCTTTTATTCCTATTTTTAGCCCTATTTGTGATAAGAGAGAGAATATGGGTCAAGTGTGCGACGTGAAAGGACAAATATAGAATTGGTTACTATCTACTCCTTCCAGCTCACTCATTACCTATCGACAACTTGAAGTTTAGGCGAGACCACGCGTAGCCAAGAACTCTGAGGGCTAGACTGACCTCTGAGTATGTTTATCACATTCTTTCGACGATAACCGTCTGCGTTCTGCACCACGATGGGACAGGCGGACAGGTTATAGCAGCTGTGCGATTAACATTCGAATATTAGTTAAAACCTTGCTGGACAGCCATCTGCCTGAAATAGAGGATTCCTCATGCGCGGCGCATCTGCTGAGAGGGTGTGGGTTCCTCCAGTACGCGAGATCCGGTTACTGATGCACTGCTCCTTTGCCGGTCACTAGCGCGTTGTATACTTGACTTCTCGCAGAGTTGAGTCGCTAGCTCAGAGGGGTATCACAAATAGGGCTAAAAATAGGAATAAAAGCGGAACCAAAGCGAACGTATCTG